AAAAAAAAAAAAGACCAACCTGAGGAAGAGTGAGACCCCATCGGGGTACCAGGCACAGTGGTTCAATACCTGTAACCTCTTCCACTTGGGAGGCTAGCAAGGGAGGATCACTTGAATCCAGGAGTTCAAGGACTATATAGAGAGCTATGATCCTACCACTGTATTCCAGCCTGGGTAACAGAGTGAGTCTGCATCTCAGAGAGAGGAGAGAAAGAAAGAAGAGAAGGGGAAGGGAGGTAATAACAGAATGAAAGAAAGAGTGCCCACTTTGGCAGCACATATACTAAAAATTGGAATGATACAAAGATTAGCCATGTCCAAGAATGACATGCAAATTCGTGAAGTGTTCCCTATTTTTTAAAAAGAAAATGAAGTGAAATAATACACAAAATTTGCTATATTAACTATTTTAAAGTGTATGGTTCAGTGGCGTTAAGTACATTCACATTATGCATTATCTGTGGCTGCTTTTGCAGAGTTGAGTAGTTGGGCCAGAGACTGCATGATCCATAAAGTCAAAAATACTTACTGTTCAGCTGTTTACAGAAAGTTTGCCAACTTTTTTTTTTTTTTGGCTGGGGCTGGGTTTGAACCTGCCACCTCTGGCATATGGGGCCAGCGCCCCACCCCTTTGAGACACAGGCACTGCCCCAAGTTTGCCAACTCTTAATATAAAATAATAGAAATCAGGCCTGAATGGTGACTATGCTTATAAACCCAGCACTTTGGGAGACTGAGTTAGGAGATATTGATCGAGCCCAGGACTTTGAGGCTGCAGTGAGCTATGATCTGCCCACTGTACTCTGGTAACTTGGGTGACAGAGGGAGACCCTGTCTAAATAATAAAATAGAAATTATTTCAAAGCAAGCAACCTCTAAATTATAAGGTCTGTTACTAGGGAGCAAACGTTACTAGATAAATTCTATCTACTGATAAATTTCTTACTCTCATCAAATATTCCCCCCATCCCAAACACACCCTTTGCTGTGCTAGAGAAAGTCGGTACATGTTCTAACTTAATGGATTCTAACTAAATGGCTCAGCGCCTGTGACTCAAGTGGCTAAGGTGCCAGCCGCATACACCTAAGCTAGTGGGTTCGAATCCAGCCCAGGCCCACCAAACAACAATGAGGGCTGCACCAAAAAATAGCTGAGTGTCGTGGCAGGCGCCTGTAGTCCCAACTATTTGGGAGGCTGAGGCAGGAGAATCACTTGAGCCCAGGAGTTGGAGGTTGCTGTGAGCTATATTGACTTCTGGGCACTTTAGCCTGGAGTTGGACAGAGTGAGTTGTCTCAAAAAAAAAAAAAAAAGTGAGGGAGAATAGGGTATTCATTGGGCAAATACTTATTACTGTAACCTTATGCTAGAAACAATGGATACAGAAAGAGTAAGGCAGTCTGCCCTTGGGGAATGCAAAGTCAAATGGGAGAATAAACACTAAATACTTTTGCTGCTGTATAAAGTTTGTGTAATAATAGCATACTTTGTTTTTTGGGGGGTTTTTTGAGACAGAGTCTTGCCCTGACCCCCTGGGTTGAGTGCTGAGACACTATCATACCTCATAGCAACCTCAAACTGGAGTCAAGCGATCCTTATGGCTCAGCTTCCTGAGTAGCTGAGACTACAGGCGCCTGCTACACCTGGCTAATTTATCTATTTTTTTTTTTTTTTTTTTTTTGAGACGGAGCCTCAAGCTATCCCCCTGGGTAGAGTGCCATGG